ATGTCCCCGCACGGCGTGGATCCGCCCGCTGCCGAGGTGGCCACTTCGCCTCGGGCACCTGCCGCAGGGGTTTCCGAAGCACCGGGCAAAAGCCGGCCCCGCAGCGGGGACAGCAGAAGCCCACCTTTCGGAGGAGGTGGAAGGAAAGGGAAAGAAAAGGGGGAGCGGGACCAGATGTCCCCTCGGAGCCTGCCCGTGCTGTGTTTGGCTCTGCGGACAGGGTGATCCCGTCCCCACAGGGGTGTGTGGGGGACTAACGATGAAACCTTTGCTTCTAAGTGCTATCTAATCAAGTTCTCTGCTCTCTCCCCAGACCTCCAGTACAACTGCATCTAAACCTGTGCTTTGGAACGGTGCGATTGGAAGTACCTCTGCCCAGACCCAAACTCCGGCACGTCTAGAAATCGCTCTTCCAATACCGTTCACTGGACTTTGTCCAACACTTTTTAGCAAACTGTAGGCTTTATAAAGTCCCGCTTTCTAACTCTTCACACACACCGGTTTTTTTCCTTCCTGTTGCCAGCCAGTCTTGCCTGGGTTGACATCCAGACGAGCTCCTGGCAGTCAGTTTTCAGACTCAGATGTCCGTCTCACACGGGTTAGTTCTAACTGCTGCCTTGGTTTTCACGCTGCAGCTTTTTTTTGGAGAGCAGGGTAGCGCAAATGAATATTCCTGATGAAGGTAGCTTTCACCGGATTCCTTACAAAATCTATTCCCCCTTCCTCCCTCTCACCCCCTGGGTACACAGGCACCATACCGAGGTTTGCATTTTTCATGGCGGGACAGACAAGTCTGTAAAAGGCATGTTTGTTTTTCCTGGCTGTTTCAAATATGTATTTCCTGGAGGACTTCGCATCTGATGGGGTCATCAGAAGCACATGTGCGATTTTCATCTTTCCAAGTGATTTCTCCTCTTCTACCCTCCTTTCCTTACCAGCAGTGTTTGCTGACATAACATTTTATCTGTTCGTCCACCTTAGCTCCCACTAAAAAAAGCCTGTCCGTCCCAAACTCTTGGTGAAGTTCCAGTTTGTTTCTGTGTGTCTGATTGGGATTTTTTGTTTTGTTAGGGGTTTGGGGGGGCTATTTTTTTAAGAAGTAATTTTTTTCTTTTTCTTCCTCTTGTTGTTGTTGTCGTTGTTGTTGTTTGGTTTTTTGTTTTGTTTGTTTCCTACAGTACGCAGCTTGGGCTGGAGGTGCTCTGCCGGCCAGCAAGCCCGACCGCCCACTCGGCGGCCGCTTCTTCTTGGTACCCCGGGGGGCGAAGCTGGACGGGCTCTGCAGCGCACCGGTACTCCGGATAAAGACGGATTTGATATTTAAAGCTGGAGATTGAGCGTTTTGCTCAAACCCGGCAAAGACTCCCCAGTCGCTAATAAACAACCCCCGCCTCCCGTTTATTTTAATGGTAAGGAGATGACCCTTCTTCCCAAGCAAGAAGCCACCTCCCCGATACATGGAGTGGAAGCTTTGAGCACTGCTACTCGCAGCAAAATGGTAAGAAGCTGAACCCGCATCCCAGCTCCGAGGCTTATGTATCTTTTCCAAATCCCAGAACTACTCTCCCTCAGACAAACCCCTCACCTTTTCCTTGTGTACTGAAGCACTGAAAGTTCCCTTCAGTATATTTTCCTTGGCTGCCTGAGCCGCAGCATTTTGATTCACTAAGCAGAGGAAGTTAAAGAACTCTGCAGTAAGGGCCAGTGCCCAGTGTTTTCATCACCACTCCCCTACATTATTTGTCATGCTCAAGTGAGGGTTTGTTCAAGCCAAAAGCCTGCGCATACCGGGCTGCATTTGTTTCTTCTAAAGAAGGCAAGAGATTTTGTTTCCGGGTCTGGTAACAGGAGCCCCTGTGCCTTACACAAACATAGCTGGGCAGGCAGGGGCACTCCCAAGGCTTTTTGTTCCGGGGCTGCAGCAGCCCCCCTCAAACACACATTGAGGCTTTGGTTAGGCCTAAATGGCTGCACTAGGTCCCAGGAGAAGAGGCAAAGTAGCTTTGTCCGGAGTAGCCCGCAAAAAATATACCAAGCGGGTGACTTCTCTCATGTCGAGTGTTTGCAAAATGGCTTATACTATCCAAAGGAAAAAGCAGCCACACAGCCTTGTAAATGAGATGCGACTGTGTTTCTCAGAGGGAGTCCTGTTTACCCCCGAGAGCCTGCAAGGGCTAGTGGATGTAAGGCGTTTAACCAGCAAGCTCTGGCATACGCTCCCCTACTCATAGGAAAGGCTCTTACTCCAATAGAAGTTCTTCCTGTCCCCAGAAAAGCGTCGGAAACTGGGTCACATCTCCAGTAGCTTGTCGGGATGCTCTCCCATCGCGTCCATCAGTATTTTCCCGCCAGGGTGATGAGTTGAGCCTTGTTAGGACAGACAGAAATGTTTTCTGTCTCTAACGAGCTATTTCTCTTATGACTCTCTTCAGCGAAGCACCAGGTCTGTGAACACTCATATAGTAAAATACAGCAGAAAAAAATTTGCCCTAGTACGTGAATGTTCAGCTCTCTGCTATCTAAAGGAATTACTCCAGTTACAGGTATGGGGGCCGTAAATGCTGAATACATTACGTAATTTGGTAAGATTTTAGTTTGAGGTCAAATACTGCTTATATATATACATATACACACACATACATATATGTGCATGTGTGTATATATATACAGGTATGTGTGCGCGTGTACATGAGAGAGCGTGGTTCTTCCCCAGTCAGTCCTGCCGTGCGGTTTGCCCACTGCATCCTGGCCGCAGTCCGAGGATAGTCAAGGGGATTTTCATGGATAAAGCCTGCCAGGACCGAACCATGTTTTTATTCATGCCCCACAAACCTTGCGGCTACCCCAGAAACAACCAACCTTGAGATGAGATGTGCCCCATGTAACCTAATGCTAGCGAATCGTAACTAATCTGTTTTAAAACGAAGGATTAGTCACGTCAGTTTCGGCGTATTCCTCTATCGGGAACTTTTTTTGTGCGTGGAAAATCGGAGGGATTTGGGGTAATTTACCAAACATCAGTACTAAGGCAAGTACTGCCCGATCCAATGAGTTTGAACATGTACGGGTTTTCAGGTTGCATTACACATGTCCCATCATTGAGGCTTTGAGCTGTATGCGCCCTTTATGCCAGATTGACCTGCAGATTTTTTTCTTACTGTATGATTTCTGTTTCTAGCCGTCTTTAGTTGGCTTCAGCTACTTGCCCTCTCTTGATTTCTCCATATATAAGAGATCCGCACCGAAATTCACATGAGTTTTCACAGATCCCACTCTTTCCAAGGGTCTTTCTCACCGTGTCAGCCCTTCATTTACTTTCCCCGATCGAATTATGCCTCCTCTGTGCAATATGACCGTTTATTAACCACGTAAACCCCATCCTGTTTTCATACTGCCTCTTTAAATATTCCCCATCTTGACTTTACTCTTTCTCATTTTTTCTTTCTCCAGAGGGCAAAGCCTTAAGGCTTTATTTAGATTTTTGGATCATGTTTTATTAACCTAGACGTTCTGTTACCCTTCCGAAACTCATTTCTATCTATAAAAATACAGAATAATTAACTAGCTAATTAATTCATTCTTTACAATGTTGCACATCTGCATGTGTTATTTTACAGGGAGCAGGAATCTTCTGTAGCTCTAGGAAGCAGTGGTTCCTCTATTTGCAAAATGTTTATTTTCAAAGAATTAAAATCCATAGCTAAAATTATTAGATGCTTCTCAACGGAAATAACAGGATCTGCTATTTAGACCCTAATGCACGCAGGACCCCAATGGTACGCTCCTACAGCACAGACAACAGCCACATCATCTTCGCCACTGAAAAATGACCCCAAAGAGCAGAAACAGGGGACACATAAGCCTGAATATACCACATTGCCTCTGATACAGGACCGTATCCCGCTGCACCCCAGCTTAACGAGAACACTGGATTTGTAGCCGCGAGTGAGGGCAAACTTTTTTCCGGAGGCCGAACCTCCCCCTTACTGACATCCATACATTCCCTTCTATAGACTTTTAACGGTACCTCAGAGAAACGTGCTTTTAGCGGACACCCACAAACGCACAGAGGCGCTAATCCAGACTCAGATTATATCAAATTAGGACGTTGCCCGCACAGTACTCCCACTGACTGAAATTTCAGCCAGCGTCTGAAACCTGGACACAATCTTTGCTGAACTACACATATTTCTATCCCGCCTGAAGCCATATCGTTTTCTCGGTTTATTTTTTACAAGAAAATCATTTTAAAGAAGAAAAAAAGAAGGAAAGTATAAAACCCTTTGCAAGCTCTGAGGAACATTTTAAGCAGATGACATAAGACATTCGGCTTCTAGCAAAGAGGTGGCAGCGAGGGTGCAAGATGCATTGAAATCACTCTGACTTCTTATCTTTTAATGGGGCAAACTGACAAGCAACTTGCCTGTCTCTTTTGCCAGCCGGTGCTTACAGAAAAGGAAATTAAAAATAAAGAAAGAAAAAGGAGAGGAATAGAGCAATCCCTTTCCCAGCATCACTCCTGCAGACACTGGAAAGGCATTTGCAGCCCAGCCGTGCTGAACTGCGGAGCAGGGTCTGGCCGCACATGGTTTGCCCACCTGCCCTTGAAGCGAGGTGGGGAGAGGGTGGCGGGGGGGTAGGCTTTCTGCCGGAGCCAGCGGACACCGAGCGGAAAAGCCCGCAGCCTGCACGGCCTTGCCCTCCGTGGAGCAGGTGGCTGACCTCTACTTTTCCCTCAGGGCCCGCACGGCCCGTCCTTCTCCGACCCCTCAGCTCCCCGCTCCCGCAGGGCGACTTCAACTCTCACCGGCGCACGCCGCTTCCCCGGAGCAAAGCGCCCGGGCGTTGCTCCGCGGGTCACCCCAAATGGGCACGTTGCGGGGTCTGAACACCCGACACCGCCTTCCCCGGCGTCCCCCACCAGAACGCCCGCTCTGTTCCGCTCAGGACTGAGCCCGAAAACACCCCGCGGGCGAGTGAAGCAACCGTACGCCGAGTTAGATTTCTAATTTTTATTATAAAATAAAAGCAGAAATATTTTCCAAAGAATGTATTCACATAATATAAACAAGAAACAAAACTAAGGTGAGTGACTTGTGGTTGATACTGTCGTTTAGGTCTAAACTTGAGCAGCAATTCCTCTTTTCCTTTTAAAGCCAGCTCCTGCCCACTTTGCACACAGAGGGGGGAATTCTGTCTCTGCCTTCCTCCGGGCCAGAGCCGGGCCACCACTTCCTTTTCCACACAGCAAATGGCTAAAGCACCACATGGACAAGGCCAAAGAAGCTGTCTCTCTGCATAGCATCAGCTACAAGAAGGTTACAGAGTCTGCCTAGAGCGCGTGTTGCTGCTATAACTTGACTACAACTTTTGTATTCTTAGTTGAAATTGTACATCATACACCTGCCACGGATACATAGCTACAATAGAATAACGGGAGAGATGTGTAACTTCCAAACAGGCATGACAACAGCAGCCTTGCGTTCCACTTTCCTCCCCACACCCCCCAAAAAAATATTACATTGTGCCTCTTCCCACACAGACCGGCCCGATCGAGTGACACCACTGAGAGATTCGTGAAATTAAGGCTGGAAAGAGCTGCTAAACCGATCCCCTTACAGCCTGCCGTGAAAAATCACAGCTCCTGTCCAATAGTCATTACAGTCCTGAGACCCCCGTAAACAACTCTTAAGGCTTTTCACAACATCACTGCCCACAGTTGAGTCTGCTACCTTGCAAACCTGCAGCCAGCCTTCTGCCAAAGGGCACAACACATCCACTAAGGTGTTTGTCATCTCTTTCAAAGTCTCTGGTAAGATGAAGGGGGGAGAAAAAAAAGGAAAGAAAAAAAAGGAAAAAAAATAGAGTAAAGGAGGGCTGGTGCCAAGGAGGGAGCATGTACACTGTTTTAAGAGCCCAGATCTACCAGGTTAGATGACATGGGGTTGAGGATGGAGTCCTGCAAGCTGTGGTGGTGCATGGGGTCGGCGCTGGGCACGGGGATGGCGCTGGGGCCCTGCGGGTGGCCCAGGCCGTGCAGGGGCTGCAGCCCGGGGTTGGAGCTAAGCAGCAACGCGGGGCTGGAGGAGGTGTGATCCGGGGTCCCTGACGGCGTCTTCTCGTCCTCTGAGCTCCCCAAAACTGTCTTATTCCCGTTCATTGACGCCGAAAGCGGGTTGTGGCTGTTGGAGTTGGAATTCTCGTTGTTTTCCCTATAGGAAACACAAAAGAGGGAGGGAAATCACCGGGTGGCCATGGCTCCGGGGCGCACACCGCTGGAGCGGGGGCGGCGGGGAGCTGGCTCTGGGGAGCAGCGAGCGGAGGGGAGTGCAAAAACAATAGGTTTGAAAACTCTGCAAACCTCCAAGGTCTCTTCATCTGGCACTAAGGTCTAAGGTCCGCTGAGCTTGTAAACAGTCTCCCACTAGCCCAGTGGAAAGTGTCACTTTGCCAAAACGTAATTTTCTGCGTCCAAAGAGTTTGCACAGCACGAGGAGGGAGGCGGAAGGGAAGGGAGGAAGACATTAAAAAAAAAAAAGTACTTTTTAACTTTAAAACTGCTCTAGGATCTGAAGAGAAATTTGGCCATGATTTCTCCTGGGAAGGCCAAAGTCCGGCGAACTCCAGGCAGAATGGCTCCGTGCAGCAGAATAGCCTCCCGGGCTCACATCAGGAGGAAAAGTCTTTTGCTTAAGACGTGTTTTTTTCCCGCCTCACCCTGAGCCTAAAGCTCAAAATATAGCCCAATATGGAAGATAAGGCAAACGAACAGAGTTAACTCGGCCCTCTTAGGAAATGCTCCGCACGGTCGCCGCTACCCCTCCATCCCCACTTGGACGGCGGTGGGCGCAGCCAGGGTGGCCCCTCGCACGGCTCCGCGGCGGGGATAGTCGGCACCGCCGGTGTGCCTACCGACAAAGGCTCGGAAAGGCAGGACGTAGTTTCGAAATTCATCAGCGGGTAAATACTGAGAAAACGCTGGAGGCTGGCCAACCCCTTGCAGATACATCTATATATTTATATATCTATATCTTTTTCCGAAATGAGAGCAGCAAGTTGGGGTCCCTTCAAGGCTTACGCGGCCTTTAGACATTGCCCTCGAAGAAATACTTTAGGCACAGTCCTGCCTGAAATACTGAAGGCAATGCAAGTCTATTTAAAAGCTTCTGAGGAAGTTTTGAAACACACTATCTGGCAGAGGGGCCCTATCCTGCAGGATTTGGAGAAGTTAAGCCATTGCACTGACGGTTTTTCCTCACTAAGGGCTGCAGGATGTGGCTGGAGACACTTAGTGCCAAAAAAATAAAAATAGACAAGAAAGCTCTGTTTGAACAAGTTTCCTTGAGTGAATGGCAATCCCATGAACGGTCTGTTTTCCAACGCCTGGACTGTAATATTAGGTTGAGTGTATTTTTCAATGTCAAAAATCTTATTTGTCTCTGGAGACCTTTAAAATTTGATTCCGCGGGAAGAAAAAAAAAGGAATGGAATAAGTGTAACCTTCATTTCCTTTGGATATTTGAGGGTGAGTCCCTGCTATCAGCAATAAAAAGGATCTCTAACATCTCGTAAAACCAACACTTGTGAGGATTTGAAGTAAAATTAAAGCGCTAGCACCGTTTCGTGAAATGAATAGAGTAAATCTGTGCCCGAACCTACCGGGCTGCACAGCTGCGCGGCCACGGCGCTGCCCGTTTCCAAAACACGGTAGGCAGAGAGTCTCGAAAGATAGAAGTTACCTCAGAGGCAAGGATCTACAGGAGATTTCTGATCTATTAGTTGACCGCGCAGGTCATACGATCATTTCCGTACGGACTGGGCAATTCAGCGAACTAGTGAATGCAGTTGGAGGACCCTTTTTGCTTCTTCGAACCTTTGCGTCTTCCTAAGGCACAGGGACTGCTGATGACTTTTCAGTCATCTTGAATACTCAAGGATGTAGGCATTAACCTCTGCCCGGCAATTAATAGTCCCTTCACTCTATTTTACGTGAAAAGCACAGTCACAGAATCATGTTCGTCCTAAGAACATACACCTACTGACATGCGTTCATGAACACCTTACTGAGTAGGGAATAAGAACTGCAATGTCACGAGCGAGGCAAGAAGTTGCTCTGCTTAGTCCTTGTCCAGGTCTCCCGCCGCACGCCAGGAGCCGACGGCACTGGACATATTTGCTAAACGCGTTCAGACCTATGTGTTTCCCTCTGCCCCCCGGCTTTCTCTTTCTGCACCGAAGTAACCCTCCAGGACACGCTCTGAGCTGTATGGGGCGCGGAGCCCTTGCCCTTGGGCCCCGCCGCCGCCCGCCTGTCCCGACGGGCCGCGGACTTCCACATGCACCTCCGGCCACGGCGCCCGGCTGGGCTTCACTCCGGGTTTCCCCGGAGGGCCGGCGGCCGCGTTGCTTTACCAAGAGTCGTCGCTGGCCGTGGGGACCGACCCCAACAACAGAGGCTGCCCTAGGGCCGCCGCGCCGGCTGTGCGGGGAATGGGGTGTCGGCGGGGAAGGGGTCTCGGCCGCCTCTCCCGGGGCTACTTTCGGCGGACAGAAGCCCTCGCCGAGAGCCCAGCTCGTTCGCCGCTGGCTCTTTGGGCGCCCCCGCGGCGGACAGCCCGTCCCCACCCGGTGGGCCTCCCGCAGCCGGGGCCGGGGCAGAGCGGGAGGCGCGGGGCGAGCGGCGGGGTCGGGCAGCCGCGAGAACAGGGGAAGCCGTGGGGAGCCGTACCTTTCCTTGGCCTCGGCGGCGCGGTCCCGCTGCCGGCGGTTCTTGAACCAGTTGCTGACCTGGGTGGTGGTGAGGCCGGTGGCCTCGGCCAGCTCCCGCTTCTCGCGGGGAGACGGGTAGGGGTTGTGGGCGTACCACTCGCGGAGGACGCTGCGGCTCTTCTCCTTGAAGCAGTAGCTTGTCTCCTCGCCGTCCCAGATGGAGCGGGGCAGCGGGAACTTGCGGCGCACCCGGTACTTGCCCACCGCCCCTAGGGGTCGCCCCCGGAGCTTCTCCGCCTCGATGTAGTGCGCCTTCAGCCAGAGCTGCTGCAGCTTGGGGTGGTTGTGTGCCGAGAACTGGTGGCTCTCTAGAATCTTGTAGAGCTCGCGGAAGTTGCCCCGGTGGAAAGCCACCACCGCCTTGGCCTTCAGGACGCTCTCGTTCTTGTGGAGGTGCTCGCAGGCAGGGAGGGACCAGAGGAACCGCCCCAGCCGCTCGATGTTGCCGCCTTGCTGGAGCACCTCGCAGACGCAGGCCACTTGCTCTTGGGTGAAGCCAAAAGTCGGGAGCATCGACATGGTGAGCCCTGCCCCGCCGCGCGCCCTATGGCCTCATAGAGGGGAGCGGCGCGGGGCGACGGGCAGCGCCCGGCATGCGGGGTCGGCCCCGGGGCGGTGGCGCCCGGCGGGGCCCGCTCGGGCGTCACGGCCGGGCACGGGGGGCCGCGGCCATCGGCGGCGCCCGGCCCCGGGGCGGTCGCGGGAGCCGGGGAAAAAAGGCGAAGAGCGACGAAAAAAGTCTCGAGAGCCCGAGCGCGGGCGGCTTTTCCCCTGGCCGCCGCCTCCTTTTTGTAAGTCCAAGTTGCGAGAGTAACTTCGTGCCTCTTTTGTCTCCTATCTGCAGCGCTCGCAGCGGCCGCGGCTCTCACACCCCCCCCCCCCTCGGCCGACGGTTTGGGATCTCCCTGTTTCCCCCCCAACCCCCACGGCCAGATCCCACATAATATAGTGGTAAAGCCCTGCTCCCTCGCTCCTCTCCCTCTCGGAGTTTTCCCCCCTTTCTTTCTCTCTCTCTCGCTTTTTTTTTTTTTTTTAATAATATTATTCTAAGCTGGCATGAAAAGTGATTATCCGCGCTGTGATTGGTCCGGTTATCTGACCCGGGGACTGCCAGCAGAAGACAATAGTTTTAGTCAAATTATTTGCCATGGTGACGCTGTCAATCAGGGGTAACCCGATCTGTTTTGAGGTGGCTCCCCGGCTGGGTTGACAGATTGCTCAGATCCACTCAGAGGCGGCCCTGCGAGCTGAGATATTAGCTAGCGAGAGAGAAATTTCCGCCGTGATTGACGCTGCAGGCGCCCGTCGGGGGAGAGGGGGAGCGCCGGAGCGCGGAGCCCGGGCCCCTGCTTCTCGCCGCAGGGCGCTGCGGCGCGGTGGGACGGAGCCGCCGCCCCGGCCAGGCCCCGCCGCCCCGTCTGGATCCCGCAGTCCTGTCCCGACCCCGCCGCCCCGTCTGGATCCCGCAGCCCCATCCCGACCCCGCCGCTCAGGACCTCGGGCTCTGCCGTCATCGGCACCCGCGGCTGCGATGGGGAGAAAAGCCCGTCTCAAGCCCTTGCAGAAAAATTTCTTCCTAAATGCTTTCGCTTAGCCCCCCTCCCCAGAGCCCAGTAACCGCTGTCGGAGAGTTTTATAGGGAAGGGGCCTCTCATGTACAATGGAGACCCTGTTCGTGACCTGGGATCCCATTACACGCTGGTCGTACCTGCCCGGGAGCGAGGAGAAGGCATGATGATACGGGATTGCCTCTCCATGAATCGCCGACCGTGCCCCACCACGCTCTGGCGTGCAGGGCGCTGGCATTTGTGATCACTGGACGCCGGACATTTATTTATACTCGATTTCCAGGAGCGTGTCGGGGCGTTTCATCCAGGAGAGGAATACGTGTAAAAGTGTAAAAGTCAGAGGCACTTCGCTTGATTAGGCGGACCCTTTATCACCCACACGTGCCCATTACACACCGAGTTTTAAGTTTACTGACTCTGCGGGGTAGGGATCCGTATCCTTTCACATCCCTTTCGATCTACACAAAAGTGAAAGGCGAGGGAGAAAGTTGTGCAAGCTGGAAGGTCGAGGGAGCGGGTGCGATGAGCGGGTGAAGGGAGCCGCGGTGCTTCCTCGGGAGCGGCGCTTGAGCTGCGCGGCCGGACGGGGCCGCCGGGGCAGAGGCTGGCGTCGGGGCTCGCCCAGGTGAGGGCACTCGGGAGGAGCCTCCCGACCACAAACTCAGGGCAGTTTCCATGGCCTGTAATGTACTCCTTTTGCGGAGAAATAATAATTAATCCCACAAGCTCTTTCTACGCTATTTGCAGCCCTGACAGGAGAGGTCTCTGCAATTGTGGGTTCCTGCCACGGTACCTTTTTAGCCGCCCCGGCGCGTCAGGGATTTAGCGAAGTCACAAGAGAACGGGCTGCGGCTTCCCGCCTCGCAGCCTGAGCCTCCGCGGCCGATGGACGGAGCCTCCGTGCCGGCCCGGGCGGGCGCAGCGGCCGTCCCGTGGGAAGGCGAGGCTGGGGTGGCCGGCGCGCAGCCCAGCGGCTCCCGGCGGCGGCGGCTCCCGGCGAGAAGCCGCGCCAGGGCTGCGGCCAGTGGAAATGTGGCGGGGGAGGGAGGCAGGAGGAGGAGGAGGAGGAGGAAGAGGGCGGGGTAGGGGGGCGACGGATCAGCCCGCGTCCAGCTCTCACCATGTCCGGACGCCTGTGCATATCAGCGGCGTATGTCTGTACTTTCTCGAGCGCATTCCACTGTGGAAGCTACGCGTTCACCTACCTGTCCGTTCGGGCTTTTCCGGAGTGCTGCCACAACGAAACAGTGTCAAGCGGGCGGTTCCCGCCCTGGATCCCCCAGGGACGCAAAATAGAGGCTTCTTTTTCAGGGCGAGAAAGAAACAAGCCAAATTCGTTTAAAACAAAATTGGGGATGTTGGTGATGGTTCGGTAAAGCCCCCTTGCATGATTTTCCCTTCGTCCCTTTATAAAATGAGCTCTCGACTGCTTAGTGCCTCTATTCCGGCCGATCTCTACAGAATTCAAGCTGTGCTTGTTTGTAAACGAAAGCATCCCGATCCCAGCGCTTCCTAGACAACCTAAGCGGCTGGATAGTTCGCAGCCGTAGCGCACAGTGACGGGAAGGGCAACCGATCCTCTTCAAATGTTATTCTGAGCAGAAACGGGAGAGAAACACAAATCCTTTCTCCCATTCCCGACCTCTGCGTACACACACCGTGTGCCTTCTGCTCCCTCCCATAATGGGGACCGTGGAAATACAAAAAAGTGCTAGAGAGGTCTGATTTGCGTCTCCCACCTCCCCGCTACCATGCTCGGTCGCCCCACGCTTATTAGGGATATACCTGCCTGCTCTTCCTCTCCTTCCATCTCACAACCTCAGTGGTTGAATCTGAACGGGAGCAGCTGTTCGCCCTAGCCGGAAAGGAGATGTCAAAACCTGTTGCGTGGATTTAGATCTGAGAGTCTTCTTAGCACCCTAAAATGTGAGTACAGAATCTACACGCCAGCTTCTCCGTAGGCGCTTTCACTTTACGCTGCGGCTTGCATGTAGCGTAAGTTCACTTCCCAGAGAGCTGGGCAGAGGCAGGGCTACCCCCTTCCCGGGCACCCTGTATCAGTTTGCGTCCTAGAGCAATTGCAAATTAGTGACATCTGGATCCAAATTCTGTATAACTGCTTTTAACTTTCTGAAACAAAAAAACTTTCCCGTACATGCAAGTAGACAGAACAGATTCTGGCAGCGAAGCCGCGGCACGGGGCGAATGACATTGTAGTGCCTGGCGAGGGAAACAGGCGATCGGGCGAGGAGCTTTTTTGGGTATTTGCTAAGGAGCTCGTTCGCTGCCATTATATTTCAAAGCAGGAGTCGCGAATCGCCTGCTCACGTTTGCTCCCGGTCCGACGGGATCGTTTCACTTAGCTGCTGCCGGCTGTCTCCAGTTTAGCTGCTGTGGAAGGTTTTATTTGAGGCGACCCAAAAGGCGGGTATCATCCCGGCCCCGGCCCCGACTGCCACTTTGCCCAGGGCCCACCGGGCAAGCGTCTCACCCCTCCGAGCAGTCACTGCCGCACACGCAGCAGCGTGCGAGACCGTCAGTACCAACATCATTGTGAAGTATGAGTGAAATAAAAAGGCCGTTTTTATCGCAAAGCTCCTTTCATTAACTGGGATACAGACTGTCTGAGGAACGGGGTGAAGGCGGCCATGTCCCTTCAGAGGAGCCTTTCATTGCACGTAACTGCTTAGTGCCCACGACTGAGTGCAAAGGTAGCGCTGCAGTTATCTGGAAATCACCTTCTCGGCTATACCTTCACCGTTTCCTCGTAGATAGCAGCCTGTGCGGAAGGCTGCAGGCCTGCATGGTTCCCATTAAAGACACCACTAAAGACAGGAGCTGATTCACTCAAACTCCTGCCTTGCACTTTTCCGCCAGCCCCCATGACCACTGCCTTAGCGGAACCCCTTACCCTTTTTACCGAGCCGCTCAGCTCCTCGCGGGGCTCGGGACAAACCTGTCACCCATTCTCCCAGGGCTGTGGACACGCGCGCTCCTGCCGGCCGGCCTCGGCTCCCGGCGTGGGCAGGGCAGGGACACGGGGCCCCTCTGAGGGCGCTTGTATCGGCAGGGGTAGCTAACAAATGATAAACCCCGCAACCTTCACATGCCAGAAAGAATCACATCTTCCTCGCAGATGGCGAGGACTGTAGCGAGAGCTACAAAATGACAGACAACAACTCCAACTTTTCGTTTCTTTCTTTCTTCTTCTTCTTCTTCCTTTTTTTTTTTTAATGTTTTTCTTTACTTTTGGCGGGGCTGCAATATGCTTTCCCCTTAAAACTGGTGGGGTTTACCGAGACCGAAGGCCTGCCGCAATTAAATTGCTACTCCAGCTAGGTTGCTTTTTTTTTTTTTTTCTTTTAATGAATCATAGTGACCTTTGCCAGGATATCAGGCCTACCTGCCCCACACCCCCCAACCCGGGGGCTCAGCGAGTTTCACCGGGACCACACATTTCTCCGTGGTGAGACTAGGGATTCTTCAGGCAGCCAAAGCTCGCCCAGGATTCTCGGAGGCAGTTTTGCAACCCGGATCCGAGGGTTGTTCCTCCCGCCCTCCCGTTATTTATTCACACTTTTATTTATTTTTGCTTTTTGTTTAAAACCCGAGTCTATCCCATCAGAGATGGCACTAAGATCCTGTCCCGAATGAAAAAAAGAAAGCACGGCGGAGGATCACTGCACATAACTAAATTAAGACAAACAACAATTGCTTGTTGTTCCTTGATTTAGGGCGAAAGGAATAATTCAAAGCTTTTGCTGCGCGCAATGCGCCGTTCCTCAAGGGGACCGGTCAAGGATTTCAGATATGTAGCGGGTAACTCGATTATGCTAACAAAATCCGCTTGAAAGAGAACGTTGTTGGGCTGCGGGGCGGGGAGCGGGGTGCTGTGGACAGGGGAGACCCGGCTGGGCGCCGGCGGGAGCGGAGTCTCTGACGCAGGGAGCGTCCCCGCTTCCCGAGCCCGCAGCTCTGCCGCTCCTCTATATCACGAAGAGGTTTCCCCGCCGGCTGGACCTGAGATGCTCGAATAACATCTTCGAAAGAAATGTATTAATTAGGAGATAGGGGACTGATGCAACGCGACTGAGTTGGCCTCGGTGGACCTTCCCGCCCCCGCCTCCCTGCCGCCCCTCGGTGAAATGGGACTCCGGGGGCGGCACTGTCCCCGGCTCAAGGCGCTGTAACCTCCCGCGCTCCCCACGAAACACGATAGCCCCCCAGCCGACTGCGGCCGGTCCTGATTACTTTTATATTACCCCTTCTCAATCTCGGGCTAGGGGCTTAGAATTTTCACTCACTTCTGCTATCAACAGTTCCCCGGCCGTTGCTCTCAGCATTGGTATTTATTTGGGGTATCCCCCCTCCATGGCCCACAGCCAAACTCAGATCCTGCGGAGGGCACAGCCCGCTGGGGGGTTGACTGGGGAGAGTGAAGAGGGGGGCCCGGGCCGGTGTCCACCCAACCCCCGCCCCGCTCCCGGCTGTGGGGATCGCCTCAGATGCTCTGCGGCAGAAGGGGACTCTCTCAGCAGACAGTGTACAGCTTACAGACAAGACAACAACAACAACAAAAGGCACATATGGTTAAAATAAGAAAAGAGAGAGAGCTTTCTGCCTTAGGGGATTTGTAATAACTAGCCAGAAATGCAAGGTATTGAATCTAAACTTCGGGTGGGCTTCTGCGGGAGTGACAACTTAAATCACACTACAAGCATCAATTTGACAATATTTGTAAACTTTTTGTTTCCAGGGGTCTTCTTGATCAGAGATAGACCAGGTTGGTATGAGCTTCAGCCACGAAGGTCTTTTTTTTTTTTTTCCCCTCCTCCTTTCCCCTCTTCCGAGTTGATGAATAGCGATCAGGTTTCTTTTAATGGCTGCCCCCTATTCTCATAGCCTCCCACAACTAACCCAAGAGCCTGTTTCCTCGACCTCAGTTAATTCCACTGATTATTCCAAGATGATGAGGAAAGCACGAAGATTGTTCACTGTTCCTACCGATTCAGGGCATTTCTGTTACCATCTCCATCCCTGGCTCACGGGGATTTGACCGGGGAGTATTTTTAGGAATAGGCTGCCCTCCCTTCTCTCCTGCCTTCCCTCTCCAGGCAGCTGACAGCTTCGGGGGCTCTGCCATAGTGCTGCCGCTCCGTGGGTGCGGGATGCTCGCCGGGGGCTGGGCGCCAAGCGCAGATCCCCTTCGCTCAGCGGCAGCGGCTGGGGGGGTCTCGGAGTAGGGACATTGCTCAGGAGGCGGCGGCGCAGGTGAGCCCGCGCTCCCGCCAGGAGCTTTTCCTAAAGGGGAGCAAACCGCCGGCCGCCCCCTGCAGCTCGAGAGGGAATTTCGGTTCCCCCCCAGGAAGGAAACCTACTCCTTCGGCCCCACGGGCTGCAGGCGGGGATCCACTCCGAGAAACCTCACTAGAGGGCTCTAATACTCAGCTCCCATCGTTGCTGAGAGAAAACAAGGCTCGTCCTTAACGTCCTTTAGTCTTCCGGATAGATCCAGCCTGATAAGGTCTCTCCCAGTCTGTCGAAGGTGATTCATATAGGTTATCACCATGTCTTAGTAACAGCCACCAACTAGCCTACCTACCTGCAAGTGAGCGGAACTGATGTCCCCTTGCTGGTGCATAATGGTACACGAGGACTTTGGGGCTCCCTTCCTCTTCTGTATATGGAAAGAGAAGACAGTGCAGTCCCTAAAACAACCAAGGGCCCCAGGCACAGGTATCCTTGTCAACATTTAGAGAGCAAGCACTATATACGGATATGTAGATTTTTTCTGCCCCTTTACTATAAAAAGAGTTTGTGTAAGTTCTTCCATGGTGTATGCAAGTGCAGTATGCCCATAAACACATCAATTGTTTAAATTCTGCAAGACAGATGCAAGCTGAAATGTAGTGTAGTATTAGCAAATAACACTGTTAATATCAAACAGTGATGAACTTTGCTGGAATTCGTTCTGGTTTGGGGACTTTTTTTCTTTTTAAATATTTGCTATGATTTGCCATTGGAAATAAAGAAAAACAAACAAGACAATATCAATTAAAATTAAAGCAATTATTTGTTGTAAGGGAAACTTCATAACATTTCTGAATGCATTCAGTTTGTTTTAACTCTCAATAGTTTTAGTAAAATAAGTAAATTGCCTTATTTGCAAAAACTAGGAAATGCAATTTAGTTGCTTGCCATGTCTTACAATTCTCTGAGAAGCTTTGTGTATAGATCAAAACTACAGGAAAAGCTTTGTGGAAAACTAGATAATTTAGATAATTTAACATCAGTTCAAAGCTGATCGACTTTCCTGTGGAAAATTTGCTACTTCTGAACTTGGGACAACATTCTGTACTTTCCTCTGTGGATTGTTTCCTGGCTTACTTCTGTCTCTGTCCTTTGATGTCCTCTTTATTTCACAGGTTCTTGAATCAGCTCAAATATGCTGGGGGCCATTTACTTCCCAGAGAAAAACCTGGTATCCCTTTTCATTACTTTCCCCCCCCCCCAGTTTTATTCTCCTTACAAACAAGAACTTTATTACTAGACTAAGGTTGACTTCATTACTTATTTAAAATGTAGAAAAGGCCAATCCAGCAAACATTGAATTGGTTTCAGTCAGTTAAGTCACTTCAGCAGGCAAGACTCTCTACTGTTCTGGTTAAGAAACAATCTGCTGCTGGGGTACCATACCCACATCTCGTTTCCTCCAACAGCCCAGTCATGTGTGCATGGTAAGGTGCATAAGGGCACATCATCTACACTGGAAGTAGTAATGATAGTAAACACTGCTACTATGTAGTGCAAGGAAGGGGCATGAGCTCAAGCACCCCATTTGGCTGCTATCATGCACCCAGGCACAATTTTGGCTGTACTAGATGACACCTGGTTTGACTCCCTCTGTCCTGCACTGTTCTCATCCTCCGACACTCTTCCAGAAGTTTTTGCAGTCCCAGGAACCCTTCCATGCTCTCAGTCCACTCCCTCCTTTGGCTTCATGTTATGAAAATATCCCGTGAACAATTTATGATGCATTCCTTATATTATCTCTGATACTCAGAACAAGAAATTGTTATTTTTTGAACTAGAGAGACACCCAAAGACCCAAAGATCTAGTGACAAATGCCACTTAGCCCCAGGAGCAGAGAAGGGTTCCCAGCTGTCATTTATTTAGCAATAGGTTCATAGTTCAAACATCTTTGCAGGATGGGACTTAGCTTCCCACCTTCTTGAGACTCAGTAATTCTTCCTTCTTCTAACAGACTTTAATCAGTGCTGAAGTAATTTTTAGTTGTTTCATTCTCACCATAAGTTACAGAGGAAGCCAATACTAGGCATAGGGCTGAAGATTTCATTGAGTGACAGGGAGCTGCAAAATGGGATTCTGCCTCTCAATTTTTGTATATGTGCTACCTGATAGAGTCAGAAAACACTCAGGATATTAATCGTTAAAGTGTGTGAATACACAC